CCATATAGTCCATCACCTTCATCTGCCATTCTTCCAAGGTGGGTAGATCTTGTGTCTTCCAATACTTTGCAATGAGAATTCTTGCTGCTGTTGTGGCATACATAAAAAAAGTTCTGTCCTTCTTTGGCACCAATTGGCCGACTATGCCTAGGAGAAAGGCCTCTGGTTTCTGCAAGAAGGTATATTTAAATACCTTTTTCAATTCATTATATATCATCTCCCAGAAAGCCTTAATCTTTGGGCACGTCCACCAAAGGTGAAAGAATGTACCTTCATTTTCTTTACATTTCCAACATTTATTATCGGGCAAATGGTAGATTTTTGCAAGCTTGACTGGTGTCATGTACCACCTGTATATCATTTTCATAATATTCTCTCTTAGGGCATTACATGCCGTAAATTTCATACCTGTGGTCCACAACTGTTCCCAGTCAGCAAACATAATATTATGTCCAAGATCTTGTGCCCATTTAATCATAGCAGATTTCACCGTTTCATCCTGAGTATTCCATTTCAACAGCAAGTTATACATTTTTGACAAACCAAGACACTTTCTGAAAGACCATGGGTCAATCTTCAACCATCAGTCTGGCAAAGCACATAGCGTTGTAGGAATGAAATTAGGCTTTATGTTGCCCTGAACTTTTTGATTGAAGGGTGAGATTTCTTGATCCCTCCTTCCCTCCCTCTCTCTCTCTCTGCTGTTGTTGATTCTTGCCAATCAAACCTTTTTCCTACTTTCATTGCTGTCCTAGGAAAACAGATTTTTTTAATAACTTCCTCTATTTTTCTTTGTTATCGGATGCTTCTAGCTTTCCCTACTTTTTGAAAACAGCAATGTTGTTATCACAAGTAATGTCCACACTTTTGAAATCTCATGAGAAGCTGGAGGATTTTGAATTGGAGATCTGATGCAGACTGAGTCACATTTTAGCTAATCGGAGTGTAGAATACATATTAAATCCTAGAATGAATCCTAGTATATAATAAAAACTGTGTGTTAGAATCTGAAGATACTTAAACAAAACAAAAATTTGTTTTCTTTTTCAGCGTTTTGATACGTGTTTGCTTTGTTCAACACCTATTTTTCTGTAGCACTGAAGACGTGTATTAATTCTGCTCTCTATAGGAGATTTTATAAAACAATATGTGTAGGTCTTTTGAAAGTTGAGTCATAGAAGTTGGCTGAGATTGATTTGATTTTTCTACTTTTGACTGCTTTTAAGATCCCAGTTGCCATAACAACTTTATTACCTATTTTTTTTCTTTAGCAAATCAGTTGCCATAACAATAAAATACAGCTTTATGAATGTGACCGCATTTCTTTTTGACAATACCTCGTGGTTGGGGGTTGTGTATGTTTCTTAAAATATTAAGCCTTCAATCTAGCATTCTGCATATTCATGGAAGAATCTCACTGAAGCCAATGTCTATCCTACTGTTTCTTTCCAAGCCAGCATTTGGACATTATGAAATGAATCTATTCGTATAATCTATAGGCCAGGAAAGGGGCATATGGCATAGGCAGTTGTCCTGTTAGCCAGCCCTTGAGTCTGCAGTTGTTGCTGAATCCCAGGTTGGCTCTGAGAAAGATTCCCTCCATCCATGATCTGATTATGGATGAGAAGGCTGATTGTGGTCTGTACCACTCAGACCTGGGTGAGTAAGCAGGGTGGAGTGGGTCTCCCCCAGCTGTTCCCACCTGGATACTTAGTGCACAATCAGGACAGACTTGAGGGTCCAGGAGCGGAGGTTGCTGTGTCTATAGAGATTCCATCTCCCTTTCAGGCTCTCTGTCCAGTTGTGGGGGGGATCTAGAGTGTGTGTTCCTGGCATTGGGCTATTAGGACAGATTAGAGATTCTGCTGGTTTACTAGATGGATGGCAGGTTGCCTGCTCTTGATGGAGTTATGCTCCCTCTAAAGGAGTGAGTACATAGCTTGTGGGTACTTCAGGATTCTTTGCTGTCGCTTGAGGCTCAGGTGGCCTGTATTCAGCAGTCGGGATTATGATTGGCTTAACTGAACTAATATTGGGGGTGACTCCAGGGGTTCAGCCTGGCTCTGTCTGGATATCACACCTTGCACAAGCCATGCTCAAGGTCACCTAGTTGCTGCTAGCTCACGTAGCTCACTTTTATGTGAAAAGTGGACATTTTGTGTCTTGCATGTCCTCCTCTCCTTTTGCTCAAAGTCATCCTTGTCTGTTCTCTTTTGCCTTCCCCCTGTCTGACTCAACTTATTTCGTCATATAGACCAATTTCCACAAGTTATCTGGATTGTTAATATTCCCATAATGTTGTTCCAAACACAGATTTCCAACAGGTCAATAAAGTATGATATAATATATTTTTGTTACCTGTTTTCTATCGTTTCTGGGGTAGAAAAATACTCTGCAAGTACTCTTAGATAAGTTTTACATTGTGGTGTTTGATTTGCAGCATTTTGTGTTCCAATATGTTGTGACCTGCCTTGGAAGAGGTAACCCTGAAAGGCAGCCTATACATAATAAAATGAAAAAAGCAATACCAGATTCATTGTGACTAATAATGTATCTCTGTGTATGGACTCAGCAAAATTAACTTCATACAGTATTCTTGATTCTAAATCCATGAAAGCACACAATACAAATTCATACACTGCTAGCTGTAACTTGGCCACTTTCCTCCTGAGTAGTTGAAACAGACATACACCGTCTGGGGCTTTAAATCCAGTGTGGCCCCATTTTGATTGGTTCTCTTGCTACCAGTCAGCAGTTTCATGCTGGTTACCAGCAGCTTGGATAACACATTTACTTGGATTTATTCTTTTAATATTCCCAGCTTTGCTACCGACTTCAGAGGAGTGGCAGCTCTCTTCTGTGCCCTTTGGTCTCTTGCTCAGTCCTCCAAGGCACTTTGATATTACTGTTACCAGATTAATAGCAGTATGTCAGCTTCTGACAGTTTCCAATATTTATTTCTATTAATTTATCACTGAGCCTTAAAACTTGCTGTGTATCACATCAAAAATGCGGCAACAGAAACATACAATAAACTTCAAAGAAACTGTTTTTCAACCACATGTCTGTTTCTAGCCAGTGCTTCCCTACAGGGCCGTCTTACCCATAGGTGCTAGGGGTGCGGGGCACCCAGGCGCTGGGCTCTCAGGGGCGCCAGGCCGAGAGTCCGGGGCCCGAGAGTTGAGTCTGGTGAAGAGCCCGCCCGTCGGTTGGAGTGCCGTGGCAGGCTCTTCTACTGCAGGCAGCTCTGCACCGCGAGTTCGGGGACGACTGAGCCAGCAAGATGCTGAGGTGGCCGGCCGGCCGGCTCTACCCTCCTGCGCGCCTGGGACTGGGCAACCTGGGGGGCGGGCGCCGAGTGGATCTTTGCACCCCAGTGCCGCATATGCTTGAGACAGCCCTGCTTCCCTATAAAGGGCTTTGGAAATGCTCCACTTATTCGTACCAACAAGGTGTCATATGAAAGCCCATGGCAAGTATTGGCTGGGATTGTGTAGTCCTAAAGCACTTTTGTGCTATGTGGGTTTCAGCAATTTAAAATTCTGACTACTACTGTAATGGGTTTAGGGGTTGCTCGTGCGTAAGTTGCCGCCACTCCCGGCTAGGTTACCTGGTTGAACCCTTTCTGACTGGACAGCCTCTAGCTTCGTGGCTGTCTCAGTCGCTGGCAGAATCCGTCAGTGGGCGTTTCTTGAACTTCTTCCAGCATAGAAGTTATTTGATGCCAAGTCTCCTCCTACTCTCCCTGCGTGGAAGCCTTTTGCGCAGGGAGGGTGTGGGCAGCGGAGTACCCGTACTCTCTCCGCTGGTCTCCGGCGAGGAGTCTTGGAGCCTCCTCTCCGATTCCCCCATCTGCCCCCCTTCTCTACTGGTGTTACGCTGATTTCCTTCCCCAGCAGATGGGCTGCCTCTCTCCCTACTGGGACCCTCTCCGGCATCCCTCTGGAGCCTTCTCTCCGCCTCTAGCTCCGATGGCAGTTCCCTGACAACTACTCACTATTATGCTATGTTAGATTTGGTTCTAAAGAAGAGAGTCATTTCAGTTGAGGCTTTTGGAGGGTGCAAGGAGTTTCAGTGTGTGTTTGTGTGGGACTTGAAGAATCCTAGTGCATAGATTCATATATAGCTTTTTGGATCCCAGGTATGAAGTTTAATTAAACAGATGTAGCTAAATAACTTTTAATTCCAGTTCTGAGGTGTTCTGTGTTCCATTTAGCTTATAGCAGGCATGTCCAAAGTCCGTTTCAGGGGCCTAATCCAGTCCGCTGGTCGGTTTAATCTGGCCCCTGTGGCAGTTTATATTTTCTGGGGTAAAATCCTTTAAAAACTTCAATCCTAAAAAAGGTCAACAACTTCGGTTGGCTCTTTGGATGGCCCTCACGGCCCTTCACTTCATCAAATCAGACCCTCTAAAAATAGTTTGGACACCACTGGCATACGGGGACCTTTCACAGAGCTGTACTGACTTGTATCATAGCAAACAAGGCAGTTAAAACTGGAGAGCCTGTGACACCTCTTTCTACCAATGATATTACAAGACATCAAACACATGCTGCCAGGTGGTGTTTGCAGCCTGTGGGCTCTAAACATGCTAATATTATTACAGTATGCTAGCTCAAGAGAAGCTTAGTATGAAAACTGGCTTCATACTTAACGAGTGCCTTTGGCAGTTGAACTGGTGCAAAATAAAGTTACAAATTTTATTGGTAAAAACTATTTAAAAATACAAAGTAAAACCACCAAATCAGAATGGCAGAAAGAATACCACCCAGTCTCTCCCATCCCCTGGCTGGAGTGTGTCTTAGTATGATGTGCAGGATTCACCCACTGGCAGAGGAAGGTGGGGGGTGCGTGCACAGCTCCGGGTGTCATCCCTAAGCGGGGGAGACATTCGGTGCTCCGCCCGCCCGCAACTCGGACTCCCACGCCTACCATGAGCCGTCGGGGGAAGGGGCGGGGGGAACTGCTGCGCCGCTTTGCCAGTTCCTTCCTTTCCCCTTCCCGCTCGCCTGCCTCCTTCCTGTCCTCTCCCCTGCCTGCCTCCTCCAGCCGGGAGCACGTGCAGCAGCTCGCCCCGTTCTCTTGGCTGGAGGAGACAGGCAGGCAGGGGAGAGGACGGGAAGGAGGCAGGTGAGTGGGAAGGGGAGAGGAAGGAAGCGGGATCAGTGGGTGCGTGTGCAGCTATCCCGCGCCTGGGAGGGCACCCTCCGTGCCCCTGGGGAGCATGTGCCTGCGCCCCTCAGGAATGCGCCTGCCCTGGACAGCACGGGCATATGTTCTGCCACTGGATTCACTCCCACCCAACCAGCGGAAAGGAGTGGAGGCCCTAGCTTTGCCCTAGCACATGGAGACCCACTGCTGGTAGTAGCCAATAAGGCAAAGGGAAAGGGACCCCTGACCATTAAGTCCGGTCGTGGGCGACTCTGAGGTTGTGACGCTGGCGTTTGTCCGCAGACAGCTTCCGGGTCATGCGGACAGCATGACTAAGCCGCTTCCGGTGAACCAGAGCAGTGCACGGAAACGCCGTTTACCTTCCCGCTGGAGCGGTACCTATTTATCTACTTGCACTTTGATGTGCTTTCGAACTGCTAGGTTGGCAGGAGCTGGGACTGAAAAATGGGAGCTCACCCCGTTTCAGGGATTCGAACCGCCGACCTTCTGATCGGCAAGTCCTAGGCTCTGTGGTTTAGACCACAGCACCACCCACATCCCTGGTAGTAGCCAATAGAAAGCCCCAAAGCTGAAGGTGTTGTGGGGTGCTGGCAGCTTTAGTTCTACTTTAGCCCAAGCCCTGCAGAACCCAATCATTAGCTTGTGCTGACCTGGAGCTTGGGGGGATAGACAGAGAGAGAGACAGAGAATATAAAAAACCTTGCTCTCTCTCTCTTTCTGAGCATTGACTCATTCTGACTTTTTGGCGATAGCAGTTCTTTTGGATTGGGATTGACTTAGTGGTCCAGAGAACTAACTGGCAGAAAACAGGAGACTGGCAGAGATATCTCCAGGAGTTTTTCTGAGTTCCAATGGAAGGATATGGGTGGGGGCACGGACAGGGAAGAGGCTTCCAGATTTTGGGGAAACTTAAAATAATTATTCTTGAAATGTCACTTGACCAACCTCCACTCAGATGCAGCTATGCTTGGTATGCAAGAAGCGTTCTGGAACAAGACAACTCAAAATATTGTAATTGTTTATATCTAAGTATATATACCTCGTGTTTACATAATTGCTTAGTAGAGAAGTTTGCAGTTGACCGTCTCTTTTAGTGTACAGTGGTACCTCGGTTTAAGAACAGCCCTGTTTACAAACTATTTGGTATACGAACTCCGCAAAACTGGAAGTAGTGTTCCGGTTAGCGAACTTTACCTCGGTTTAAGAACGGAATCCGAATGGTGGAAGGGCACTTGCGGTGAGAGACCTCATTAGGGAAAGCACACCTTGGTTTAAGAACGGACTTCTGGAACGGAATAAATTCGTAAACCGAGGTACCACTGTATATGGTCATAGTTCCATGCTGAATTTAGTTACATAAAAATATCAAATTGAAGAATTGTGTGTATCTTTTATTTTTGTACGTACCTGCAGTCCATCGGTGGAAAAGAATAATAAAAACAGCATGCTAATTAAGTATATTTTGAAAATCTGAAATTTTCCATTGTGGCCCTGTTCTGTCTGCGGATCACTCTCTGATCTATTAGCTGCCTTGGAGCAGCTCCACACCGGATAGTGGCAGCTGTGATTATCTCTTTCTACTATTTGTCCTGCACCCCTCCTCACTCCCACCCCCCTGACAAAAACATCTACTCTAATTTTATGATTTCAGGGAATCTAATGATACAGTTAGTGAACTGTTGCCTTAATTATAATGTTTGAATTTGAATTCGGAAGTGCTATTAGAAATAAAAGTAAAATTCCATAGACTTGATTTTGTTTGTAATTAGCCCAACTGTTTTAATATGGAATTGTAGTGGTAATGCATTTTTAATCTGAGTTGCTGTATAACATGACTTAATTAAGAGTTTTAGCATTAGTTGTTTTCCTATGTGTGGTTATGTAAACAGATTTAGATGAATCATTTTTACAGTGAACCTTTATTTATATGCCTCTGTATTATGATTGTGATAGTAATTTGAATTATAAAGGGATTAAAGGAAGAGCTTCCAAGTTTTACTAATTGCAATAAAACACATTTTAATTTCAAATGATAAACAATCATTTGACTTGTAGAGGGCTGGTTTGTGTTTTTTTTAAAAACACACACACCCAACCCTTATTTATGTGTTTAATAATTAATAGCTCTCTCTTCCCAGTGGGGATTAGATTACTGCTGACTTGGGTTAGCTGCTGCTCATTTTTAGTGCACTAAAGGTATCTTTGGAGCTGGAGCATGTAAGTTATTCCTATGGATATTTTTGTTGCTTGTTTGATGGAAGAATGTAGCTCTGCAGAAGCATGCTTTCCCTAAAATCCTCAATATATTAATTGAGATTGGTCACTTTCAATTGTCTTCGTTTGTCATTCTTATTCATGGCTTGCTGTAGAAGGCTATAAGCCAGCATTGTCCCTGGCAACTGTTACCTAGTGACAGTTTCAGCTGCAGTAGCCATTGGTTGTTCTTTTGATTGGGGCTGAAGGACCGAGTCACCTTTCTGATGGCGAGTTTTTCTGCATCAGCTAAGGATGCGGAGGAGGGGCAGGCTTAGGTGCAAGCTGTAAAATCACAAGAGAGCATGAAAGAAATAGCAATAGCATTCTCAAAACTGATCACAGTAAAAAGGATTTCTGTGTCTACACCACAGCTCCTGACAAAGCAAATATATATGCAAGGCACCGCTTCACTGCTTTGACAAGAGATTTTAATTTTAACAGTATTTTAATTTTGAGATAGATTGAACAGCTTACAGATGAGCAATGGGCAACGTTCTGTGGATGCTATAAAAGCATAAGGACCTTCAGCACAGCATGGTGGTGATGGACATGAGACATGAAACTTAGAAAATGATGCTTTCTATTCATCCCACTGCTGCAGCAGGACGAGAGAAAAATCTTTTCTTTCTCATGTAAGGAATTCTTTTTTCAGAAGGCACAGCAAGGATCATTAAGCAGTGCCAATGCGATTCCAGCACTTCAAAAAGAGAAAAGAGAGTCTGCTGTTAACATAAAATTGAAATGACCTTGGATTTTCTTTTTAATTAAAATATGTGAGCTGAATAATTTCTCCTGTATCTTTAAATGATTAACAATGCATTTGATCTGGGTGTGGATGGTGGGTGGGTTAAAAAGCAAGACTGCTGCATGCGCTGAATGAAAGATCCATACAGTAGTCAAATACCTGCTTATTAGTGAGCATCGAAGGAGCCTTCTTACCCCATTGGATGTGTCATAGTGGCAGATGTAATGGATGTGGTAATATTTGCTTCTGAGATAAAGAATTTTTGAAGCAGATGGTTATCATTTTAATTGTCTAATGAAATGCGTATGTAGCAACTGAGGAAATGAAGCCTGAAGACTAATGGAGTAATAGAATGCAACGACAGCTTTTCTTGTTAAATCATCGTTTCATTAGCTTCTTAGAAGAATTTAGATGAGAGTTAATTATCTCATTGTGTTGGGACATACGAAAGAATGTGGACATCACTATAGAGGTGAGAAATGACATGGATAGAGCTATGAACTTCACTGTAGCAGCTGTGGCTTTATTTCTAAAGAATTTTTTTATCTTTTGTTGCTCTTGAAATTAAATGCAAGACAAGTTTGTATTCCGTGAGAACCTTGGATTACCCTATTGACATCTAACATTGTAATGGACACCATATCTTTCTAACGGGCTTGACTGAAGATCCAACATCATGTCTATTTGTTTCTTTCCTTTATTATACATGGTCTTGTTAACTAAATGGAGAGGATATTGTTCATCGAAGGGACGAACCTGTTCTTCATGTAGTGATTGCTGCCCCAACATATTTCTTTACTCGTTACCAAAGACTAATGATATTTGTTTGCATTAAGATGCCCCAAATCTTCACCTTAGTAATGCAGAATGAAGATGATACAAATGACATTATGCCTTGAAGAAAGCCGAAGGATACAATATATTAGAATGAGCATCTTATTAGACTTCTTATCTACTTTGCTTCTAGTTTTTAGCTCCTAACAATTTTTGTTTTAGAAAACATTACATTGAGAATTTCTACCCAGTACTCCCTCCTTCACGTTTCCCCCCAGGAAAATGCACTTGCAGAGATTTTTATCATGACATTATATTTTACTCTCCTTTTTGGTGTTTCTCTCCTCCAAAAGTACAGCTTAAACAAAGTGCTTTGTTTAGAAGTGCCTTGTCTTTTGCTAAGGAAGGAATGAGCACAGGAAGAAGCTGAGCAGTGGCCTTTTTGCCTCTTTTCTGTATTGTAATATGAACAATTTTAGAAGCAATTCTAAAATCTACCCAGAGAAATGGATATGTAAACAAAATTAGTTGGTGACTCACAAATCACCTAGTTCTGAGATTTGAACACATTGTTACGTAATGCAGGTCATGAACCAGTCCACTTGGATTGAGTGGAAGACTCTGAATATGAGCGGTAGCATTGTGAATGTATCTGAGCATTACTCCTGTCCAATTGGTTTTGGACACTACAGTGTTGTTGATATCTGCATCCTTGAGACTCTAATTATTGTATTACTAACATTTTTAATTATAACTGGTAACTTAACAGTAATTTTTGTCTTTCACTGTGCTCCACTGTTACATCATTATACCACCAGCTATTTTATTCAGACTATGGCATATGCTGATCTTTTTGTTGGGGTTAGCTGCTTGATTCCTACCTTGTCATTGCTGCACTACTCTACAGGTGTCCACGAGTCGTTGACTTGCCAGGTTTTTGGATATATCATCTCTGTACTGAAAAGTGTTTCTATGGCCTGTCTTGCTTTTATTAGTGTGGATCGCTATCTTGCTATCACAAAACCACTTACCTACAACCAATTGGTTACACCTTGCCGGTTGAGAATCTGCATCATTTTGATTTGGTTGTATTCCTGCCTTATTTTTTTGCCTTCTTTTTTTGGCTGGGGAAAGCCAGGTTATCATGGAGACATTTTTGAATGGTGTGCAACCTCTTGGCTTACCAATGCCT